AATTGCAAATTTCGAGCACTGTGTAACCTTAGCATCTTACAGGAAATTTCACACAGATTTCGAGCAATATGAATAGTCCAATCGAATATTTGACCAGGCAATAAAAGATTAAAATCACAATGATAAGTATATTCGAAAAAACTCTTCATGACTTAAAACTTGCAATCGTTACTATATAATGTTCCCCAACGTAGCAAATTTCATGTTTAAATTTTTTCGTCTAGCTTATATACTGTGAAAGAGAGAATTGGGGAATTGGGAACAATGGGAAAGGCCGATAGTTGGAATATTGGGGCTTTTTGTTTGAATTTTTTTGTCTTCTGTGATTTGTTGCTGTTGGGCAATGTTTAGACAAATTCTACTGCTTTTTAATGGGAGACTTTTATTTTGTCGTCCAACGTTAGCATCTATTTTAATTGGCAAATTCATATGCAACTTGGCAATTTTCTCAAAGTAGGCCAAGCCCCGGGGGGGGGGGGGGGGGGGGTGCTTACTTTAAATTCTTTTGTTTCAATTTTTTATTTTTTTTTATTTTTTATTTTTTTTATTATGGAGTTCAAATCAAAGATAGAGGTGTATGCTACTTTAATATTTGTTAAAAAAGTTGTCAAAGAAAATGTACAAATAGTATGGTAGAAAAAATTGAAACAAAAGAATTTAAAGCAAGCATTTCCCAAAAAAATTTCTGTACAAGTAGTTTAATTCCAATTTTTTTATGATACATCTTCAGTTTTTTTGTGCAAATAATAGAATATTGGGGCACTGTAAATGAAAAAGATTTGAATTTTTTCCCCTTATTTAGCTTCTGCTTGAACCTCATTCTTTGAAAAAAAAATAATATCCTTAAATAACATTTTGACATCGTTTCAACAAGACATTTTTCAATAAAATAATATTACACGTAAATTTAAATTTTTTTCTTTTTTTAACTATACATTTTTCATCAATACATTATTCAAAAATCCATTCTTATAAAAAGAATAGAATCAAACAAGGGCTTAATACCATCAAATCTTGTCTTCTAAAGACAATGGACTTTTCGCATCTTGTTTGTTTATGCAGAGGCTACTTCATGCAGCGTTAACTAATTGTCCACTGTAGATTTGACCCTAATGTGAAATTATTTCGTGTGCCCAGCAAGTCCCCCTTAAGAAACACGTAAGTTGAATACATCAATGGAGAGTTGCCTAAATGGTACTAACATTCAACCTCTTTCTTAAGGGAATGTCTTGAATTTGAAAAGTTGGGGATGCAACCCTAGTGAACATTACTATATTAACTCGGTTCTTCATAGGAAATTCCCCCATCTCTTTTCCATCACATTATTTCACCACCACATTCTGAGATAAGTGTGGTTTACAAACTTAATTAAAACTTAGAAAAATGCTTTAATTGAGATCAATTGGGCTTTGTGTTGTATTTGCCTTCATAGGAGAAATCCTCAATTTAAAGATGATTGATGCAAAATGAAGATCGTTTAGAAATAAAATGACCAAAAGAAACAAAACAAGGATCCTACATTCATAACACGTGAAAAAATTAGAGCATAAAGCTTGGTATACAAATCTCCATAAGGCAAATGATCTCCAACTACTGTAATGAAATATACAAATGAAATCTTTGGTTATAAACTGCGATTAAATGAAAAGTTTAAGCCCACAATTACAACTTTCCATTATGGTCATGTGGAAAGGTGTAAATTTACTCTTTTATCCTTATAAAAATTGTTAAAAATTTTCATTGATCAATTAATGAACATATGGATGAAGACCGTCCATACATCCGTCCTCTCAAGGAATAAAAGGTTTAGAAAAAAGTTGCACAAATTTAAAAAATAACCATGACTGGGATAATTATGTCATAAATTTATTAACCAATCGTTTCATCTCCAATTATATCCAATTATTTAGTTTGTTTAATAAAAAAAATTGACCTGACCCCCATTGATATTTTTTGAAGTCATCTCAACATGACAACATTCATGATTTGACCCACACAAAATTTTCAATGTACCAAGTCCAACACAACGTGCAAAAATGTTGGAGTCGCACTCAACTCATTTTATATCCCTAGTAACGTGAAAATACTATAAAAATACAAATTTTTCTCAAGTACATGGAAAAAAAATAAATAAATAAATAAATATATATATATACACACACACACACACAGAGAAACCATACACATGTTGCGTCGCCAGCACCAACATGGCTACTTTTTTTTTTCTTTTTTTTTTTTTGTATTATTATCATCTTTCAATGATAATCTGCCAAATGTCTATTTTTATGATTTTTTGTGAAATTTTCCTATACTTATGGCATTGGTGATAAAAATAAAATCACTTGATCGGACGGCTCATATTTCAGGTAGCAATTGAATTTAACTGAATCACAAATGCTAAATCTAATGTCTGATGACACACGACTCACTAGTCAGTAGCAAACATGATAATATTGTTTATACATAAAGTTGTGAAACTGCCAATGTACGTCCTCCCTAGGGGCAAGCCAAGGAAAGTTAGAATAGAGACGGCAAAAAAATCCATCAAACTCGATACCTGCCAACCTGGTCCCAAATAGGGCAGAAATTACTTGCTTAATCGAGTACTCGGATCGGGGGCAGACGGGTACGAGTAATAAGGGCCCGCCCTCGTTTAACTTTTTTTGTGTAAAATAAGAATTCAATACTTTAAATGAAAAAATCCACAAAATTTTAGTTCTAATAGAAAATAGCAACTAAAATTATCTAAGGAATATGACAAATAATAAAAGCTTTAGTTTACCGAATATATTTAAATAATTTAACTTTTCAAAAATAAATTAATTAATAAAAAAATAAAATAAATATATTATTGCCTCACTTTAATGAATAGGGCCAACAAGACGAATAAAAAAACTAAAAAAATAAAAAATAAACGAAATACTAAATGGGGAAAAGGCCCCCGCCCTGCCTTATCTTAAATGGATAATAGGGCAAAAAATTACCCGTTGGGGTAGGGTCTTGACCTTGACCCTCCCCGTTGCCATCTCTAATTCAGAACCCATTTGACATGACTTTTGCTTCATGTAAAAATTTTTTTAAAGAAAGCTATCTTAAATTTTATTTGAAAACTAATTTTTAAAAGCACTTCCTATTTCAGAAGTACTTTAGAAAAAGTCAAATTAGACCAATTTTCTCTAAAAACTCTTCTAACTACTAAAAGCATTTTCATAAAATTAACCAAACGGGTTAGAAAGTAGCTTTTGCATCTTAAATATTTCTTTTGACTTTTTTAAGCATGCCAAATAGGCCCTTTATGCAGGTCTAGCAGACGACAAGGCAAAGAGATGAAAGACTACAAAGTACAAAACCCCAAAGCCTTGAAGATACTCCAATGCTTGGTGAAATTTGAGCTATCATGTAAAAGAATTCTCTCCGTTGATGCAAATTAAACAATTCCGATATACATAACAGACATGCAAAACCATTGGGGGCAACAAAAAATGTATTTCTACTATCGACCAACTAGACATTTCCAATTCAAGATTTCTGCATTCTCCATTTTTCCCATTTACAGATGCAACATTTTTCTATTTCTTTTTTCTTTTGTCATTCATTATTGAATTCATAGGTGTGTTGTGTGTCAAAAAATCTCCTTATTGTTACTCTGTCAATATACCACAACCAGGGGCGGCGCCCTAGCTAGATTCGTTGGGAGGAATTTTTTTTTTCTAATACTAGATAAAAATTTTAGATTATACATTTGATAATTCATATCAACAACAAACATTTCTGGTACCTCAATTGATTAGCCCTTCCACTATTGAATTAGAGGTCCTATGTTTGAAACTCTTTAAGAGTAATATTTTTTATAATTTTTTGTATTTTAACAATTTTTACCAAAACAAATGCAAGGAAGGTAATTCGAACTAGCTACATTCCTTAAACATATTGATCACTTTGTCATTATGACACTTAATGATTTTTAGCACATAATGTAACAAAATAATATGTGTTCAATTTCATTGGTTTAATGCAAGTAGAAACATTTTAACCGGTGATTTGTCTCTCTTCTTGATTTTCTTTTCCTTTTCCTTTTTTCCCCTATTCAATTGATTTAAGAATTCGGTCAATTAATGGTAGATGAATTTATAAAAAAATTGACTTTAGTGTTATAAAGAATCATTCAACAAAAAACTTATTTAATTAATAAAAGGTTCCACTTTTCGTTCACAAAAAATTGATTGTGAAAAAGTGAAATCATAAAAGCACATAAAATTGATATAAGTACATAAATAATTTCAATTTTGTTAATATAATAATGCTTGTTTAATTAATTCTAATTGTAAATTGAATATTGACATTTTGTTAATATACATTGCCTATTAAATTCAAAAATAAATTAAGGCATTTTCCAGATTATGGAACAATTTTTTCATCTAAAATGAAAGTTCGTTCCTATTTTTAGTTCTAATGGTGTATCTAGTTCTAATCCATACGATTTTTTGAATATTATTTAATTAAATATTAATAAAAAATCACACTATTACGGACGTTGGCCGTCGATAGTAAACTTTCAATGCTCGCGATCAACCATAGCTGAACTTGACCCTTGATTTTGCCCCTGACCACAACTCGAAGGAGTCTGGGTTGCAGCTCAGTGCAGTCAAGGCCTTCTTCCTCTTATAGGTAGTGCTGAACAGCAGTAGGAAGTCCAACGGAAACATGTGAACCCCTCGTGTGGTGACTTGCCCCTGACAGATATGTAAAGCCACAAAGGCTGGTCTACTGACCTCGCAGCATTCTTCATTACGGCAAGCTCACCATGCTTGAGAACGTAAATAGCTTCGCTCACATGTATCCCGTGCAGGTCAATAATCATCTCTCTCTTATTGATATGCATCTCCAAATTCCTGTACCAACACGAAAATCGAATGACCCTACCAAAATAGTACTATGGGTCCCCAACCTAATGTACCATTAGCAAGTTGGTCTACAATCTTTAAAAAAGATCAAACTGGTTCCTAGGATTTCATTATAGTTGCACAATCCCTAAAACAAAAATTGTCCAAATCTCTATTTAATCTGAAAGTGACCCTCTTGCATTTTTTTCTGAAAGGTTTCCAACCTACTTGCTATTGTGCCAATAGTTTGGGAACCAATGGGGCAATCTTTCCTAATAATACAGGAGGACTGTTACTCTAGATTGGGGTGTTTCCTTTTTTCCTTCCTTGGGATGAAGTATTCTAGCATAGCCATACACTGTAAAAAAGACACTGTCCATATTAAACCCTTTTCAAAAGAATAAATATTTGAAAGTACAGGCGACAGACCTCTGATGATAAATAGATTCCTGAGCCTTCTGATGATCTGCTTTCATTTGCATATTGTGCAACCGTCCTTTGACGCTCAACTCTTTTGCGAAGGCCTTGTTGCCAATTATGTATCCCTGGCGGGCCTAATCTTACACAATTTCAGAGGTCATAGATCAAACGACAAGCAAGAGTGTAGCAATTTTCACTAAGACATACATATATCAGCAGTGCTTTGCAAACTAATTGGCTCAACAACGAGCCGGTATGTTTACATAACATATGGCCCGTGAAATTATAATTCATGATCAAGTCTTCACCACAAACTGTGTTGGCTTAATCTTAGACTTGGTTAAAGGATAATAAGAACCTGTAGTTAATTTATACATAGCAGCATCTTTTAAGTCAATGGGGGAAATGGATTGAAGGCCATATAAGGAAAAGAGACCAATGTACATTTGAATTGTTTTGTATCCAGGTGTAAGCGCATACATGTATAGAAACACACATAGAGAATGAAAGAGGGTGTGAGCTTGAATAGACTTGTTGAATTCTATCCTTACTCCAAACAAAATGTGACTTGTGGAATGAATGCAGCATTCGCCACTGCAGACACCACATCAATCATTTAAGACCATTCAATGGTTCTTTCAACAACTAGTGCTGTTATAAAGCAGTAATCTAGTAATTAAATGTCACTGGTTTAACGTATTTAAGGTTCATGACCACTCCCCACCCCTAATAACCTATTTCCACCAGAAACAAAAGGTAAACTAACTTCAAGGATTTTCATATGGACAATGAGAACAAGGAACAAACTTTTCCTTTTTGCAAACTCTCAGCTTATGCTGGCCATCTATCTTTAGTAGGGACCTTTATACTTGTGATTAGGTCATCTCCAATGCTTACCCCAAAACACCAAAATGCACCAAAAAATGGTGTAAAACACCTCCAATGCAACACCAAATTTTGCACCATTTCGGTGCAAAGTGTCCAAAGTCATTTTTACCTTCATTTTCCTTTCCCATGTACATTGATTAAGTTATGTCATTTGTGCTATATATTTTTTAATGCAATAAATAATTATTATAATAATAATTATTATTTTCATTCAAAATAAATTTTAAATGTAAAAAATAATTAATGAATTAATTAAAAGAAGAAAAAAATTTAAAATATAACAAACATGATTATTTAAAATTAACAAGAAATATATTAAACGACGACATAAATACTTTAATCTAATTTTATTTAAAGTAAACGATACATAAAAAGTGCATAATTTAGTAATTTGGAAGATCGCTTCTAGATCCTCCAATATCGTCAAAATATTATTTCGACTTCGTAATATCATAATATCCAAATTCGAAATGCATTGCACTATTTTTTAATAGCATGATTTAATATTTTCATTTTTGTAGTGTTTTTACTAATTGTACTATGTTTTTTATATTTATTAATGAATTTAATCCTTTCCTTAATTTAACGTATTATTTATTTAGTAATTTATGTATTTATAAAATAATTAATTAAATAATATTTCAAATAAGTAAATTCTAAAGTATAAAAAAGGGAAGAAAATGGTTAAATATTGTTTATTTGGTGTAATGATTGGAGACGAATTTTAGTTGGTGCAAATTTTGATGCAGCGCTGGAGATAATCTTAGAGTTGGAATTGTGAGAGAACAGAGTGTATTACCTCACTATTGTACGAGTTTCTCATTTTCTAGTCATCTATTTTCCGTTTTGTACATCCTCCCATTAACCATACCTTCTCAAAGTATGCATTGCATAGGCGCGCAGCATAATCATGAGCCTCTTCCCGCATTTCGGAATACATATTTGCTGCAATCCCAAAAACGTTAAAGCACATATACATTAGGAAAGCATTTAAACCACAATTTTTTATAGAGCAATTTCCTTGAAGGCACTACCGACTGCTTCTTCGGTTCCAAGCCAGATAGGCTGCACGAGCTGATGCTCGACTTTGCACCCAATCACCATAGATGCCCCTGCCCTGACCACTTGCGTAAAAACTAGCCAGGACTTGTGAGCTACTCAATCCAATACTGGTGTTGGAAGAACCTTTCTATCATACTTCTAGAGGTTAGGATCTTAAAATGCCAATTTTTTGACAGCTAATG